AGCTGGCCCAGCTCAAGGGAGGTAAGGCACCCGCCGGAAAAGGGGAAAAAAAATGGCGGACAGCCTTGCTTGGCGATCCCCGTGAAATGGTCAATCGACCCCAAATGGGATCGCGACCCATAGGTTGAGAACCGCTGCTCGTCTAGTAGAACTTGTTTTATTGCTTATGTCTTTTATAAAAGCAGGAGGAAACACTGCAAGGTCTCCGTAAACTTAAGAATAAGGGCACAGGGAAAGGTTTGTTGACTGCTGAGGAGGCAGGAAGAGGGAAAGGGAACAAAAGGGAAAGAGGAGAAACTGGAAAGGCAACTAAGTTTCTGAAATTCTGCTCCTCTTGCAGCATGGAAGAGAAACCTTTTGCGCATCCGCAAGCTGATTCTGATCGGCGGCCCAGACGATGGGGTCATCATGCCCTGGGAATCCAGGTGAGCTTTCGGACATGGCAAGAAAGAGATTCTCTTCTGAACTGAGAGGAGCGGAGTGCCGATCACCACTTACAGGTTTTAGCAAGGAGAAGCTGTTTAGCACCACTTGCAACCACGAGAATATTGGAATTGGTGCAGACTTGAGCTGCTTAACTTGGTTCCTTAATAATCGATTGGAGCCAGAGAGAGAAAGAGAGCTTGCACTGATCATTCTGGCAGAATCTAATCACGCTTTCCAGTATCTGGCATGTGGGAAGGGACAAACATACACCCTACCTCTTCCACGCCACTCCTGTTTTTGATTTTCTGCAGCAATTTGCAGAGCCATTCTCTTGCTTACATGGAAAGCCCTCAATTTTCCATGTAGAAGTGCAGAGAAGAGCAGCAAGGATGATTAGGGGGCTGGAGGCTAAAATATATGAAGAGGTGTTGCAGGAACTGGGCATGTCTAGTCCAATTAAAAGAAGGAGTAGGGGTGACATGTTAGCAGTGTTCCAACATCTAAGGCAGAGGTCCCCAACCTTTTGGGCACCAGGGACCGGTTCTGTGGAGAGAGGTTTTTCCGCAGATCGGAGGGTGTGTGGTTTTGTGTGCTGCCTGCATCCCACGGATGGGGCGTTGCTTGTTTGTGCGGACCAGTTGCTGGTATGCCGCAGCCCGATACTGGTCCACGGACCGGGGGTTGGGGACCCCGATCTAAGGGCCTGCCACAAAGAAGAGGGAGTCACCCTATTCTCCAAAGCACCTGAAGGCAGAACAAGAAGCAACGGATGGAAACTAATCAAGGAGAGAACCAACCTAGAAATAAGGAGATTTTTTTTGACAGTTAGAAGAATTAACCAGTGTAATGGCTTGCCTTCAGAAGTCGTGGATGCTCCATCAGTGGAAGTGTTTTTAAGAAGAGACTGGACAGCCACCTGTCTGAAATGGTGTAGTTGGCAGAAAAGAACTTTATGGTGCTTTTGTCAATTACAGCTTGCAGGGAAATGAGAAATAGAAGACTAGTAGAACTTAACATCTACTAGTTACCGTAACTGACCATTTCCAAAAGTTGAACTATTGCCTCCAATTGCCAGTTAGGGAATTTGATCAGATAAGACCATTGTCCGTAAAGGATCCTTTACGCTTGTAGATTAAAGCAAAAGTGCCCCAAGATGGGTGCTGCAGCCATCTTATTTCATAACATATAAGATTCACAATAAGATCTTTACGCTGCCACAAGTGGCAGCATAACGATTTTATGGTGAATCTTACATGTTGTGAAATAAGATGGCTGCAGCACCCACCTTGATAGATATTATATATTAAGGACAGATATTAGCATCTGTATTAGATATTAACATCTGTTCTGTTTAACACACTATCAACTGCCTTTGCTGCTTACTTTCAAACTCTGCATCTCTAATGTATAATCATGCAATCCACAATTATTTTGTTCTTTGGTGGATTACTTTTTAGATTCACCCTCTTCAGGGCATCATATGATTTAACATTCACTGCACGGTAGGTGATCAAAATTCAGACACCTGACAACTGGCATGTACGTACAATGGTTGCAGTGTCCCGGGGTCGTAATTCTTTGTTGGAGATAACATTTACAATTGGTCCTCGACTTATGACCACAATTGGTCATAATTTTCTGTTGCTTAGCAAGGTGATTTTTAAGTGAGCCATCCCCAATTTTACAAGCTATTTTTTTGGCACGGATGTTAATAATAATAATAAAGTTGGAAGGGACCTTGGAGGTCATCTAGTCCAACCCCCTGCTCAGGCAGGAAACCCTATACCATTTCGGACAAATGGCTGTCCAGTCTCTTCTTAAAAACTTCCAGTGTTGGAGCCTTCACCGCTTCTGGAGGCAGGTTGTTCCACTGGTTAATTGTTCTCACTGTCAGGAAGTTTCTCCTTA